CCCCCCCCCCAAATTTCTTATATCACTTTAGGAATCGTCTTGCATTTGCAGCCGCTAATATAAGAATTTTTTAAGGTTCAGGATTAACAAAAAAAAACCCTATAAAATGTTATTGATTTTATAATATGGAGATGGGTTGTGCATGATATGTTCTTATCGGGTTCTCATTAAGTACCTGTATAAATGGGAAAGGACATATACACAAGGAATTTCTCAAACCTTATTGCCTAATGTATTCTAAAGCTTCGGAGCACATTTAGAGTATTTCAGTTTTGACAAGAAAGAAAAAAATGTGTTTTTTCTTGAGGCTATTTTTCACTCTGATTTGCTAATTCAGTGAATTTCTACTCTTTAAATAAGTAGAAATGAATATTTTAGGCATGTCTCATAAAATGTTCTGCGTTCATTTCGCTGGTGAAAAATGTATGGAATTTCTAATAGGATGGGGGAATTTTAAATGAAATGGTTATTATTTGAGAATTCTATTATGATAGGAAATTTTTAAATCTGATATAAGGTTTTGACAATGCAATCTCAGTTCATTGAAATATTAACTTACGCCAAGTGAGTTCTTCAAAATAAACATCAAAGGTTTTCTTAACCTGATAATAGGCAGAGTCATCTCCAAGGAAGAGTTGCTAATTAGCAAAAAAATGAACTCTTGAATACAGTGAAGGGAACATCTTAGTGATTTGGGGGAGGGGTGAGTTACCTAAATCAAATCATCGGATTTTTCCCCCTTGAATTACTGTTTTCCAGATTGATTTATTAATGATATTCCATTTGAAATTTCATAACCAGGTTGATACAAGTAGATGAGGGGCCCATTCAAAAGAAGCAATTTCTTCAAATAATTTTATCAACCAAGACAAATAATCTAAATAATCCAAACAGGAAACCATGCCAACCGTATAATTCCCCTGCCTCATAAAAGATTTGTCTGAACTATCTGGATAATTACTGTAATGAAACACTTCTTTGTCCAGAATCTGGACTCCAGATAGAGGCATAAGAGTTGCACTACCCTCCCCAAAATAAGTTCTTTATTAAAGTCAGAGCACTTGTCCACTTTCTATTTCACACTGGAGTGTTCCTTCAAAATTCTTCGCTGAAAATTCTTCTAACATTAAGTGATCAGCTTCCTTAGGATTATGTTAAATAGAATGTCAGATAATTCCAATTTCAATGAAGAATCTTTTGGAGTAGTTAAAATCTGGCCTGATTATACCTGGATGTTTGATCTTACATTTTTCTGGGAGGGTTCTGCTATGCTAAGATATCCGTTGCATAGGAGTTATTAGGGCATTTGTATAGTTATATGCTAAACGGTGAAACAAAAATATTTAGCAGTGAAAAATATTCTCTATAGATTTTCACCTTAATTAAAAAGGAGTTTATAGGAGTAGACTATGTGTATCTAATCCATAATACATTTGGGTTCAAATTCAGCATCAGTATTTTTCTGCATACTTGCTGATACTGATGTTCACCCCTGCTGATCAAGAGGTTTCAAATTGCCTGGTTAAACTTAAAATTAGTGTTAAAATTAAAATACAAGATGACAGTAATGCTGGGGGGAAATAGTAGGCAGCAGGAAAGGAGGAAGACCAAATATGAGATGGATTGACTCCGTGAAAGAAGCCATAGGCAGGAGTCTACAGGAGCTGAGCAGGGCTATTGAGGACTGGACATTGCGTATATCACTCACTCATAGGGTTGCCAGGAGTCAGAGCTGACTCAAAGGCACATAACACACACAAGAATCAATAATAATTGTAGCTGAAACATTCTGGCTTAGTACATATGTTGACAAATAAAGGACTTTTAAAAATCTTAACGGACAGAATATCAGCGATAAAGTCATTTTATAGCATCCTCTAAATTCTGAATTGGGAAATCATGGAAGTGCTTTGAAAGTGTTTTCGAGGGATTTAATTTACATTATAGTCATTTAACAATTTGTTTTCTTATGTGGTAAATGTACTTACATATATATCCTGTTTATGAAACATTATGCTAATAATACACTGTGTCAGCCAGTTATAATTACTTAATCTTGCCTGTAGCCTCCATGGGTTATAAGCCCAGTGTGCACTAGTACCTTTATTTCTAAGTGTAGGTCTAAGCTATATGGAGAGAGAGATTTCTTCTATTAATACAATTCCTTGTCTTGCTCCATTATATAATTTTCCTATTTGTTTCATCCTATTTATTATGTCTCAGCTGGACATCTTACAACAAGACCTAAAAGTAATTAAATTCTCTTAGCCCACAACAGAAACGGATCATCATTTAATCTTAAAATGCTGACTGCCTGAAAGAGAATTGCAAAAAAGAGAGTAGTTTGGTGAATTTGGAGAAAGTTACAGGATATTTTGTTCTTAAAAGACCCAACAAGCATGTTTAACACTGCTCTCCACTGAAGATGAGAATATTATTTCTTTCCCCCTTAGGAAGGGCACAGCCCTCCTCTTGGCTCGGGCATGAGGCAGGGATGCAGTAGTTGATACCTAGGCTAGACGAGAGGAAGTGCGGTTACCCAGAGGTAGGTGGCAGTTGGGAAAGGAAGGATGCCTGGGGATGACCTTGTGCTCACCTCTTACACAGCCTGTCATTTCTGAGCCTCTGCTGCAGAAGTGCTCTTCCCCTAGCAGGGATGGGTAGGAGAAAAATCCCGTCTGGGTGTGAAGGTGCATGGGAGGGAAACACTGCAGAAAGTTTGTTCAGTGTTGTGATTGGAGATCGTGTGCTTTCCAGGTGATATTAAAAAGGATTTGTACACAAAAAGAAAAGAGGTACAATTTTTAAATAATGGCAATGATTTCTACTTTGGAGAAGCTGATATGCATGCAAAAAAGACCTCTCCCTCAATATGCAAGTCTTTCTGAGCTTTGAAATAATTAATCTTTTTTTGTGTTCGTCTCAGTCTTTCCTTTTTTCCCCCTCTCACCTGACGGCTACACCAGATTGATCAGATCTAACGTGTTAGTGAAAGATTTGTCATTGCATTTTTGTATTCCTGAAACCAATTTTATTATTAATATGTGAGGGGTCCCAATTATTCCGAATTCGATTTTGAACCCGGTATTGAAGTTATTGAGGTCTTTTTCCATTCTAAGTTCAGGAAATTTTATCCTGATGCATGCAAAAAGTATTTTACTCTCAAACATACATATATATATAAAGAGGCATCATACTGCCTTCACGATACTCTTAAAACAGGCTCTTTTAAAATGTATCTTCCTATAGAAACCAGGAGCAAGGTCTGCATGGTGGAATCTTTCTCGCTTAAAAACAAAACAAAACCAACAAACAAAAAATTGCTGCCGTCTAAGTATTGAGCATTTTCTTGATTTTTACAGGTTATTTCATGCTGAAATTATGCCTATTTGCATGGATAGTCATTCTTTAAAACTAGCCACAGATGCAGTCCTAGGGAGCACGTAGATGTTTTTACAGGTGAACCGAAAGAGATGGGAGCTGTTCCAAACACTCTGCACGCTGCCTTTGGCAGTGGACCCTGTTATTGTGAAGATGTGCTCTGTTAAGCAAACGTGAAGTTTAATATTAGATAAACCTTGGGTGAAAAAAAAGATCCTCATTTTCTTCATAAAATGTTAACTGTAAGCAAAAAAAGATGTGACGTCTTATATTTACACCAAATTTGGGGTGGGCATCACTAGTTAATAAGTCTCAAAATAGGGCAACTGCCTTTTCTAAAATGCAAGGAAGGATGGTCTCTTTTTACATTTGTTCCCAAGAAACAATGGAAGTTTGCATGCAGAGAGGGTGTTCCCCTTTCTCACATATATTGGAGTGATGTTATTTTCTTTCTCCTGTATGCATTGTTCTTGTCTTTTTTTTCCTGTTTGTTTTTTTTCTTAAATCTAGGATATGAAATAAGATTCACAAGTGGTATATGTTAAAATATGAAATAAGATTCACAAGTGGTATATGGTAAAGAGTTTCTTTAAGCATGTGAGGTATTATTTTGGCAGATTTTAATAGAAGAAAACTAGTCCTGACGATATATTTATCCTTGCCTAACTCAATTTATTGATTTCTAAAACATAGCAACGTCGTTCCTTTCCAGTGAGTTCAACTTTATAATAATTTAAGTAATCAGAAGGACATCACAAAAATTTATAAATATTCTCATACTTATATTAAAAAACCCAACAGATACCATCTTCAAAAGTGATTTTATTCATAAAAATGCATATCTGTGCTAAGTAAGCAGACTTGGAATAGGAGTTTTTTTTGCATTGGTTTCAGTGTTAAATTGACCATTTATGTTGGAAAGATGCTGATGGGGGGGTGTTCTCATTTCATAAAAATATTTTCGAATTCTGTAATAAAGGGTGTGTTTTAAATATCCGCGTTTAATGTTAGAGTTTCTTTTCATGGCCTTAAAACCACAATAATTTTAATGCAGAAATGGAATTGTGCATCCAGATTTCACACAGCCTCAAAATTTAACCCTCTTTCTTAAGTATAGCCCACTTGCATCATCTTTTGTAATGTGAATCTCAGTGCCCAAAATTTAATCAATTGGTTGTCAGAGGCTGTATACTTCTAATCTACTATTTCTTCTGAAGATAAACAGTATCATTTTAAGCATTTGTGAAAGAGAATCATATTACTGGTGCTTAAGCAGTTTTTGCTTTTTTTTTTTTTTTAATCTTAATCCATCTTAAACCAGTGGAGCAGAAATATTTAAAAATGTTTCATTTCAAGCAGAGTGCATAATAAATTGCAATAATTGTAATGTGCCATAAATCCCAGAGCCTATGCATTTTGCATTTGATTCAGGATTGAGGTCAGGAAATTTGGAGAAATTTAAAGAAAATGATTCATCAGTCCTTTTGTTCTGTTGGCCAGGGTCCCGGGATTCTTGAGCTGTGCCCAGCTGACGAGCTTTTGAAGATGGCACAATAACTGCCCAGTGATGCCTGACCATGACAGCACAGCCCTCTTAAGCCGGCAGACCAAGAGGAGAAGAGTTGACATTGGAGTGAAAAGGACGGTAGGGACAGCATCTGCATTTTTTGCTAAGGCAAGAGCCACGTTTTTTAGTGCCATGAATCCCCAAGGTTCCGAGCAGGATGTTGAGTATTCCGTGGTGCAGCATGCAGATGGGGAGAAGTCAAATGTGCTCCGCAAGCTGCTGAAGAGGGCGAACTCGTATGAAGATGCCATGATGCCTTTTCCAGGAGCAACCATAATTTCCCAGCTGTTGAAAAATAACATGAACAAAAATGGTGGCACGGAGCCCAGTTTCCAAGCCAGCGGTCTCTCTAGTACAGGCTCCGAAGTACATCAGGAGGATATATGCAGCAACTCTTCAAGAGACAGCCCCCCAGAGTGTCTTTCCCCTTTTGGCAGGCCTACTATGAGCCAGTTTGATATGGATCGCTTATGTGATGAGCACCTGAGAGCAAAGCGCGCCCGGGTTGAAAATATAATTCGGGGTATGAGCCATTCCCCCAGTGTGGCATTAAGGGGCAATGAAAATGAAAGAGAGATGGCCCCGCAGTCTGTGAGTCCCCGAGAAAGTTACAGAGAAAACAAACGCAAGCAAAAGCTGCCCCAGCAGCAGCAACAGAGTTTCCAGCAGCTGGTTTCAGCCCGAAAAGAACAGAAGCGAGAGGAGCGCCGACAGCTGAAACAGCAGCTGGAAGACATGCAGAAACAGCTGCGCCAGCTGCAGGAAAAGTTCTACCAAATCTACGACAGCACTGATTCTGAAAATGATGAAGATGGTAACCTGTCTGAAGACAGCATGCGCTCGGAGATTCTGGATGCCCGGGCCCAGGACTCCGGAGGGAGGTCAGACAATGAGATGTGCGAGCTGGACCCGGGGCAGTTCATTGACCGAGCCCGGGCCCTGATCAGGGAGCAGGAAATGGCTGAAAACAAGCCCAAGCGAGAAGGCAACAAAGACAGAGACCACGGGCCAAACTCCTTACAACCAGAAGGCAAACATTTGGCCGAGACCTTGAAACAGGAACTGAACTCTGCCATGTCGCAAGTTGTGGACACTGTGGTCAAAGTCTTTTCGGCCAAACCCTCCCGCCAGGTTCCTCAGGTCTTCCCCCCTCTCCAGATCCCCCAGGCCAGATTCGCAGTCAACGGGGAAAACCACAATTTCCACACCGCCAACCAGCGCCTGCAGTGCTTTGGCGACGTCATCATTCCGAACCCCCTGGACACCTTTGGCAACGTGCAGATGCCCAGCTCCACAGACCAGACGGAGGCACTGCCCCTGGTTGTCCGCAAAAACTCATCCGACCAGTCTGCCTCCGGCCCCGCCGCCGGCGGCCACCACCAGCCCCTGCACCAGTCGCCTCTCTCTGCCACCGCAGGCTTCACCACGTCCACCTTCCGCCACCCCTTCCCCCTGCCCTTGATGGCCTACCCATTTCAGAGTCCATTAGGTGCTCCCTCTGGCTCCTTCTCGGGAAAGGACAGAGCGTCTCCGGAATCCTTAGACTTGACTAGGGAGACGACGAGCCTGAGGACCAAGATGTCATCCCACCACCTGAGCCACCACCCTTGTTCACCAGCACACCCACCCAGCACCGCCGAAGGGCTCTCCTTGTCGCTCATCAAGTCCGAGTGCGGCGATCTTCAAGACATGTCCGAAATCTCACCTTATTCGGGAAGTGCAATATCCTTTTATTTTCCCCTCAAGGAAAACCAAACAGAACAGGCTTCCTAAAGGGTCAGGTTTATACCAGCTGTAGAATAATCTAGATTAGGACCTTCTTAAGAATTCAAATTAATAAGCTTTTACTCAAATTAATAAGCTTTTATCAACACGCCTGTGGCACTTCTAATGGCACAAAACCTCCCCACTAAACCTGCATCTTTGCAACTTTCACAGGTTGTGAATTGCCCCCAAAGAGCTGGTATTTAATATGTGCTTTTTCAGTAGTGTTTTTCCTGCTGCTCTTCCTGAATTACCTATTTTTTTTTAAAAGTAGAATCAGAGCCCTAGCCAGTTTGGCTCAGTGGTTAGAGCGTCGGTCCCTGGACTGAAGCGTCCCGGGGTTGATTCTGGCCAAGGGCACTTACCTTGGTTGCAGGCTCGATCCTGGGCCCCGGTCGGGGCATGTGCGGGAGGCAACCAATCTATGTGTCTCTCTCACATCGATGTTTCCCTCTCTCTCTCTCTTTCTCTCTCTCTCTCTCCCCCCCCCACCCCGCTCCACTCTCTCTGAAAAAGCAATGGAAAAAATATCCTTGAGTAAGGATTAAAAAAAAAAAAAAAGAGTGGAATCAGAGATGGAAAAATATCTCATTGTCATATTGAATTCTATCAAATATATATATATATATTTTTAAGAGATGGTTAGTTTTATAATAGAGTGAAGAGAAAAGTCAGTTTCAGATCCCTAAGATGCCATAAGAAGAATTTCCCCTTTAAGCTTGTATGGGCTCCTGGGCCGTTTAAAAGAGGCCTGATTCAGTCCGATGAAGAGCACTGGACTGGGGGGAAGAAGGTGGATGTGGGAGGGGAGTTGGATTCTCTCTTTAATCTTGAAGTGAGACGTGGTTTTTTAAAGGAAATACACAGGTACTGATTTATTCAGACGGCATCGGTCTCTCTCTCGTTCACCCAAGGTCTGTTCTTTGGGGCTGGTGCAGCTGCCTTCCATGCATGATTAACCTCTGTTCAGCCATACACAGAAATCTTTTGTCCTAACATACACAAAGCAAATTATTTTGGAAAGCGAGAGAGCACAATTAAATATAAAACTCAGCTGCATTAGACTTAAAAAATGGCTCTTTTTATGACTCTTTTATATTTTGAACCTGACTTTGATGTAGAGATGCCAGTTATATTTTTTATTAGACTTGTCCTGAACTCTGGCTATTTTTAATTGATGATTTTGTTTTTCTCTGTAAATTGGTCCTTGCAGTAAATTCTTAAAAATCTTGTGGTCATTGGTGTTCTGGGGTAGTAGACTAGTAGTTTTGGGGGGCAGGTAGAGGCATGTTTCTCTTACAATAAATTGCCAGATGGATATAAAATTTAGCAATTAAGTTGGCTGTTGCTAAATTGAGGATTTTGAGCCATCATCTTGATGATTAGAAATTGACATTTTAGTATGTAATCCCACTCCAGAGGCTGCCACGTAAGTGCAAAGTCCCAGCTCTGGTGGAGATTTGCTTTCCCAGGTAGTGAAGGTCATCCTTCCAGCCAAATCTTAAGATATTGATGAAGATTTCTGATAAGACAAATGGGAGCCACTAGTATGAGATGCCCTTGGGCAGTTAAACAAGAGTTTTCTTCCATGGGGAGGAGGGAGAGAATCATGTTATGGGAGAAAGCAAGGGAAAGATGTTGAGGACCTAGCTATATAAATAGAAACGGAGTCTGGTTTGGTTGCAGATTTAACTTCTGCCTTTCAAAGACCTAAAAATCTAATCCGCCAGCCATGAATTAAAGCTGTGCCAAGCACCATGCCTTCCCTGTTATGAGCAGGCAGTAAACATTGGTCAAAGTGATTGGAATAAAGCTGTTGGTGATGAGAGAGGCAAAGTAAGAAGACACAATGAGTTGAATACTTTTTCACTTTTTGCAGGAAGAGCATCTTCCGAGGTTCATGCCAGGCTACCATCCAAAACTAGACCCCATATATCCTTAGAGATCCTTTAGTTCATTTTGAAGCCAGTAGTAGTGATGGTGGGCTCTCTGTCTCTCTCTCTCACACACACACACACACACACACACCCAGGAAAGGGGCATACCTATTTTGGTGAATATTTGAAGCCAGGTTTCAAAATCTCATAAGGCCATACTAAACTCTTTAACTCAAGATGCCAGTTTATGTTATTTTTAATTAGACTTTTCATTGTAACCAGATAATTGCCTGGTGGTTTTGTTTTGTTTTGATTTTTAAATAAGTTGGATCTTCTAGGAAAAAAGTCTTTTTGATTGCTTTAAGTGTTGGCCAAACTCATTGTCTCACCCTCTCTAAATCCCCTGAGGAATTTTAAGGATTTGAATGGAAAGAAGTTCCTTTTATTTCTACCCGTATCAAAGGCTTTAAAGAGAATAAAGTTGCTTTTCCTTCAGAGGAGTGAGTAACTTCTCTCTCCTACCAATGTAAGATTCTGTTGAACAGTGATGGTTGGGAAACACCTGTGCTCATATGAAATGTTAGTTGCTTATACCTGGGGCTGTTCTTTCGTGTAGCTGAATAATTTGGACCACTTGTTGGAATTAATGATTGCATTTTCCACCTTTTGGCTTTCTATCCTTTCTCTCTTTCATTTCCCCCTGTACCCCATCACACTTTTAACCATTTATCTCATTGATATATTATTTCTTAGGAGGAAGATAGGCAAGCAACCTTTTCGAGAGTCCACATAATTCTGAAGCCAGGGAGGATCTGAGTGTTTGTTGGGAAACCACCCACTTTTTTCCTCTCTCGATCGTTGTATGGCAATGAGGTCTTCCCTTGATTTAATTGACTGTGTGTAGGCAAAATTGTCAAGCGCTTGGTTTAAAGAAATCTCTGGGAATCACAGTGAGTGGTGTCTTACTTCAGTTTTAGGTCTGTAAGCCCATATTTGAACCTGTAGTTACTCCTAGAAAAGATCAGTAGAAACGAGATGAAACGGTACCACTATAATCGTCGTTATTATGTTTTTATTTTTAGTTCATGGCTTTCCAAGTTGTCATGAATAATTGAAATCTTAAGGAACAATTCTTTCCCACTCCAAAGGGCATCATCTGTTTCTCTGAACAAAGTAGCCGAGACAAGAACTGCCGAGAACACCAGCTTATCAGATAAATCCATTTAAGTTTAGCATATTAAGCACATATGTTCTATAGAATAGAACACACTACCTGGCTATCCCTTCTGATAGAAAAGAAATAGGGAATGTGTGCATGTTAAACTGAATGTCAGTGCACCTGCTCACTTCTTGGACTAAAAAACATGCTCAGTATCTTTGCAAATGAATCTATTTAATCAAATATTAAGTTTTATTCAAATTCCCAAAGAAACAGCCAGCCAATTGTTTTTCTCCGTGAAGTTCCTTGTCACAAATCCTCTTTGCATCTCAAGAAAAATAACCTTGTTTAGGCCTCAAACATTTGCATGCACCCAATTAAAGCACAAGCCTTTAAGACATGCAGGTGAAGGCACGGAGCCTGTTCTCTGTGGCAGCCAGCTTTCCCTACTCGACTTTTAGGGGGAATGTTAACAACACTTGAAGTTTCAAAAAGAAAATGGTTTAATGATTTGAAACTAAAACCTAACTGGAAAACATGGCTTAAAAATGAATTTCTACAATGTGAAATAATCCATAGAAGTTCATCTTTTGCATTTTTAGAAGTCTTGTGGGGCCATAGTAGTTATATTAGCTCTAGGGAAACATGTATATTAAAGACTGAAGGAGTCTGGGTTCCTACCATTATGAAGTAAATAAATAAAAAATTCATCCCCCGGTTATGTTGAACTTCTTAGGGGAGCACCAACTTCACTGCTCCATCACTATCACGAAATGAGATAGTTTAGATCTTTTCTCCCCATTTCAGGTTTCCCTGGGG